CCCCCCCTCGCCACCTCGCGCCCCCTTTACTTCCCTCACCCTTTGCCGCTCCCCGCCCCATCCTCTTCCGAAATGCCAGGCGAGTGAGGAGAACGAGCGAGACGTGTACGACTTACGCGGGGCTACCTGCCCGGCCCGAGTCTGCGGCCCCCGCGCGCCCCCCACTTTTGTTGAGTAAGCCGGCAAAACGCGCATCTCATTTTCTACATTTTTCTACTCGCTTCTCCAACGCGCGTCGTCGCGTCCGGATTAGCCAGCCGATGCACCCCTCCCGCTGAGAGATGAGCGTTGTAGTGCTTTCTCCCGTATCGCGTCCGACGACGCGACATCCTTCGTCACGTTTTGTCGGGACTTCCCCCCTCTTTCCGGCCCCGGGTGGTTGGGAGGCGCTGATCAAACAAAAGCGCCCGTTATTGCGGCAAAAAGACGACGCGCGCAAAGCGAAATCTTTCATTTATTTTCCCACTGCTGGCTCGGCTGAAATGCGCCGCCTCCAGTGTGTCCGCGACCCGGAAGCGCGCGCACGCAACGCCGAGGCGAGGCAGTGATCTTGCGGACGCCAACAAACCCCATGGCGGCCGCCAGGCCTGCTCACTTCCCTGTCCATGTTGGGAGCGTCTCCCGTCCCGCGGTCCCCGGCGGTCCCGCCCTGCGCAGCACGGCTGGCGGAGGCCAGCACACTTTGGGCTGACCCGACACCTCATCCACCCCAGACACCCACAGGGGGTGCGACCGTCCTCCACACGATGAGGTGCGACGACGACGCGTTATGTCACTGCTGCCCTACACTGCCCCTCCCGCCCGCCTCCGGCCCGAGCCGCTTGCTTTCTCCAGGCCCCGTTCCCTCGCGCCGCGGGTCTCCCTAGTGTCGTACCGAACAGTGTTGTGCTTATTGGGCATCAGGATTTATTGCTACGGTTACGCGTCCCCATGAGTAACGCGTAACGCTCGTCCCAATGTGTAACGCGTAACGCCGCCGCTGCTCACGCGGCTTTCTTTAGCCTTGCGCGCCTGTAACAACGCCCGAACGGGCAGTCAGTGACGGACAGCGGGGTAGCAGCAAGGCAATGCGTCTGGAGGAAAATGTAATACATTTTATTGAGGATTGTTGTAGAACAGAATGCTATATAGTAATCAGTAGGAGAGACAGCAACTATCGACAAGAGTAGTCTAAGAGTGGGATTAGTTTTAACATAATCAGTCAGATTCAACAGAGTTAACATGAGAGAGTCATAAAATTACCAAGTGATACAGAATAAAATGTGTTGCACAGTGAAAATAGTACAGGAACATGAATGCCCGAATACTGTAGCCAAAAGTTATAAAAGTTGAAAAGACTTTTCAAATCACAGAAAGAGGAAAACAAATAACTTAATCCCAAATTTACAAGTGTTTACAAGGGGTTGAGTCTAAAAGTTCAAATACATAGGGACGTGCACGAAAAACTGAAATGCGTACACTTTTAGCAAAGTTAGTGATAGTGAAATACATCATTTGAGTGTTCTGCTTGAGAAACCCGTTTTAAATCAAATTTAGCACCATGTAAACTTTTAAAAGAGCGGGCACTGACAGTGAGCATCGACTAGTTTTCTGCGGGTCGATACAAATAAAGTAAAATCGGATTGACCCGCGTAAAATTGTGCATTTTCAAATCAGGGCCTGCTAAGCCTCGACAAAAGAAAAGACTCATACTGCGGTAAATATCGCGGTGACGTACTTACATTGCACAATCCGGAAAATGTACAGCGCAACGAATGACGTCCAAAGTAGAATTATAAGGAGAACGAAAAATAAATACACTTTGTACAAAAATATCCACTACCTGAGATGCCTCTACCCCTCCACTCCACACACGCCGGGCCAGTTACATCACAACCATCGGTCATTATTTGTTCCGAGTTCACCGACCCAGTCGGGTCCTCGATGCACCACGGATGCACTTTCACTAAGGACCGTCATAACCCTCAAGGCCTAAAGGGCGGACCCTTTCACCCAGTCCATGCAAAGGCAGCAGTTATTAACAACGATGGCAAGAACGCCCACACACACACACTCACTCACACACACACACTCACACTTTCATACACACTCCCATATACGGCATCACAGTCACACAGCCTTTTAGAAGAAAAAAATGCTAATAGTCATAAGAAAGCCCGGCCAGGCCACTTGTAGTGTATAAGACCATAATTAAGTCAGAGTCTACATTCTCCGACGAGAAGTAGTAAGTCTAGTACAGTGAATGGAATGAACAAACCCACAGATTAAATATTGCACAGAATAACAGGCGCAATAGCCCGTTCTTGGAGATCTATCACGTATATACGTAAATGTTCGTCACTGTGCGCTTAAATAAAATTACCAAAAAGGCGACGACCCCTTCACATACAAGAAAAGGAATAACAACAAATAGACTAGCCGAAAATGAAAACAAATCAATAACAAAAATTTAATGTCCACAAATATCTGTAATTGCGGTCGTGCTCATTTTTTTTTTTAAATTTATTCTTTTATGTCGTTTTGGTTACGAGAACCATATGAAGAGGATCCATCCCCCCATACACAATCATGCATGCTCAATGAAGGCTTCATGTGTTTCATGCTGGGCTCCCGATGTTGCTTCTGAGGTAGACGCCGAGGGCCAGGACAGGCAGCAGCAGGTTCACCATCAAGCTGGGGGACACCAAGCCGGCGGAGCCCTTGCCCGAGGGGGAGACGACGGGGGCGTTCCCGCGCGTTGACAGCTGCGCAGCGGAACCTGTGCACGAAATAGACCATGCAGCAGCCGCACATCACACACAAAAATATACGCCCTCAAAAAATTATTCCTTTTAAAAAAAGTGTGTTTTCAAAAAATTATTCATAGTAATAGCCACAAAAATTAAGTATGCCACATGCTTGGCGAAGCCAACCAAAACTAAAACTACGCAGACAACTCATTTAAAAAACACAACAAAAAACACACAAACACAAAAACGCTTGAAATAATTTTCTAACTACTGTAAAAGCAAGGCTACGGAGGACAAAAAAAGTCGCTTAAAAGCCGAACAATGATAAGCGATGATAAGCAAACATGAGGTGAAAGGATGGTACGAAATCCTAGAATCCTTTTGTCAAAGGTCCTTGTCAACACTCATTCCTCGCACCGCTAACGACAACGAAACAACTGCACCGCCACGTAACTCACCTACAAATTCTCAGTTAACTTCTTATTAGCATTCTAAACACAGCATTTGGTTAGTTACATGCGAAAACCACCATACCCGCGCACTATATACCGTTGAAAAGGGTTTTAGAAGTGTTAGAAACATGGCACAGGACAGGTCCGTCAAGGAGGGACAGTCGGGGACATCCCGTCACCAGTGAAAGAGAGAGGTCGGTTACCTGCGGGCATCAAGCCCGGTCCCGGTGCCGGCGTGCTCGGGACCACCGCGGCGGCGGCGGCGGCCGTGGTCTGTTCCAGGGGAGCGCTGCTAGGACCGGGGGTCGTGGGTGCGCCGGGGGGAGCGGGGGTGGCAGCGGGGTCAGTCACGTTAGCCGCAGGTGGGGTCAGGGTGGTGGTGGCGTTGGTGGCGTCTGCAGCGATGGTGCCGTTCACCGTCGCGTTTAGCTGTGCGACGTCTGTGAGGGGAGAGTATAGGCTGGGTTAGCAAAAGTAAAGGGTCATAGCTGCAGTTCATGGTGAGGCTGGTTGTCCCCCCCCCCCTTCCTCCTCATGCGCGGGGGCCCAACACACTGAACGAGGCTTTGCGAACGGAAGCCTGCAATTGTACGCGGGCCGCCAACAGCAACAACAACAGCAGCGTTGAGCCAGCGCCGTATTTCCCCCCTTCACCATGCATAACAAAAGATAACAAATTTTTCAACAAAAACAACAAAAATAAGCGCCAAGTCAGCGGGCCGCTTGACTCGCGACCTCCTCTAAGACTCACCGCTAAGTACCCCACAGCTGTCTAGCGGGCTGCCTGGTGGTCTGGCACCACACCGGGCGAACAATTGCGCAATTACAAACCCCCCCTCCTGCAGCGTTACTGGGTCGTCGACTCGACAACGGCAAAAGTATAAAACAACTCGCGAATGCATAACAAACAATTAATATGAACTCCTTCGCAAACACCCCGGAATCAACAAACAACGTGCCTCGCGCGGGGTAATAGTCGCGAGTCGAGTCAGCGACAGCAGGCGACACCACGGCAACGCTTCCTGGCAGAAGCAGGGGCGCCCGCCCCCCTCGTGCATGTCACGCGCGCGGGTACAAAACCGCAAAACATTTCGCAACGGCCCCAGATAACGGCGCGCCAGTCTGTCTCTGTCCTGTCGCCGGATCATAACTCCCCCGCCGCCGTGGCTGAGCCCGACAACGACGGCGACAGCGACGTGCCCGTGTCGACGAGCCGTGTTGATCGTCGCGGCACGGGCACACGCGGACGGGGGGGAAAAGAAACACAAGTGTGGCGCTAACACCTTAACAGGCAGTGCCAGGGCTTCCCAGAACATGACTGCGCGCGCGCGCACGCCTCCAGCAAGACGGTGACATGGACCGCACCCGGACAAAGGGTAGTTCAAGTGTGACGCTGACGCTCGCTGGACGCATTGAGCGGGAGGCTGTCGGCAGCGTCCGGGCTGTATCACTGCCACTACACGCGATTTTTAGGGAGAAAAGCAAAGGTAACCGGTTTCGTTTTGTTTAAGACATTGGCGACCTTCCGACAAGGTGACCGCCAAAAGGTGACTTCCCAGGTATAGAAAGAGGGACTCGAAATTTATTTGGGTATACGACTTGCTGGACAATGACAACTACACCGCGACTGCCCAATGGTGGCTATAAAACCCCGCGTCCTCTGTCAAAGTCAAGCATATGTACTGTGCCGCAACACACGCCTGGCGGGCAGGGTTGCCTACACCGGGGTCCGCGGGCGCCGACATGCTGCGTGTCCCTCCTATTGATGGGCGTAGGCAGATAGCTTACTTTTCCTCGGTAACAAATCGTACGAATTTAACTTTGAAATGTCTCGCAAATTCCGCGTGACGTTAGTGTGGCGCCGGCGCCATCGCGGCGGCGTGGAGGTAGTGTGGTGGGGGATCAGACAACACGGCTCACATGCACCTGTGTTCGCATCGCACGTGCAGAGGCAGGCCGGAGCCCGCCTGGTGGCCGGGCAGCCTGGGCAGCCGCGCCGGGCTCAACGAGAGTCATCTCGATCCAGGCGAGCCAGCGGCAGCCCCGCACGCACGCGTCACGTCACAGACGGCTCCTTTTCATCGTGGACCCCGCCCCCACCCCGAGTACGGCCTGGCCGATTTCTCGCAGGTCAGCGCGCCCCCCCCCCCCTCCCTGCGGGGCTCAGCTCGTGTGAAGCAGAAAGCGATTTGACGCGTGGCGGACGCAAGTCGAGCAGATTAAAAAGAACTAGACAAAAATAAAGTACGCATTGAGGAAAATTTAGAAAAGCGTGCGTTTGTTTTGTTTCAAACTCGTAAGTGGTTCGAAGTCGAATTCGAGTCGTGAGTTACCGAAAGATCATCTCGTATTATATGTTGACGTGAGCGTTCTATGTGGAGGCCGTTTCACACTCAATGCAATACTGATTCATGACAGAAATTACCAATAAAACTAAGGGCGTCGGAAGTGCGGAGCAGACCAAGAAAATCCTTGTCTTGAAACAGGAGGGATTGTCCAGAATATGGGTCCCCTTTTCTCAGATTCTTAGAGGAGTTCGGCGCCTGCGAGACTCAAGATAGGCCACCGGGTGGTGCACGCATGCACTGCACGTAAGATGTTTGCCTACTGCTCAGGCGCCATGACCTCTTGCACGGGCTGGACTTGGTTGAGTTGTCTATCGGCGACCGACGGACGTACTTTCTGGATGAGCCCTTACGCTTCCTTACGCGCATTGTCTCCCGTGCTTAGGTACTTTTCACAGTTATTCGCACCGCATACCTTCGGGCTTTGCCTCCGGGCCCCGGGACGGACTCGCGTCCTCCTTCCCGGACGGCCCCCGTTCTGGTCCGGTGCCGACGTCACCGCCCGCTCGGGGGCCACGGCCCGGGGCCGGTGCCGCGGGGACAGAGCTGACAGAGCCCAGCACGGCGCGCGCGGCCCAGAAGGAGCTCCAGAATGGCTTTTCATATCGAGTTTGGTCGCGGCCGTCGCGCGTTCGCCACGCCAATGAGGCGGCCGTCGGCACCTAGTCGGCACCACGCCCGCGCCGCCGCCTGGAGGTCCTGAAAGCTGAGGACAGCGCCGCAGCCTCGAGGGGGAGGGGCGGGGAATGGGCAGAAATAGGGGCGGATCTCATAATGAGGGCGGGGGGGGGGGGCGGACGCAACGCGATGAGAAGCGCCCTTTGGCAACATCGGCCTGTATCTCATCGGTATTGTCCTCCAGCACTCGCGGGTCGCGGCCCAACTCGACACGGCGGCACAGCCCACCACCAACCACCACGGCCCCGGCCAGCGTGGCGGCCGCGCCGAGCTCGCGAATCGCCGCGGGAGGAAAAAAACCGGTGCAGCCGCGAGCCTCGGCCGCAGACATCCCCGCCGAGTCGACGGCAAGCCGAGCCTACAGTCGGGCCGTGCCCACCGAACAAAACTCTCGAGGCAGGAGGGAAGGGGGTGAGCGGGTGTATTTCGCAACGGCAAGCTGTCGGTGGATTGCGGCGGCGGTGGCGGTGGCGATGGCCAACGAAATGGAAAAGATAGCCGTGAGAAATTTTTATTTGGCTACGATATGGCGATTTTAATCAAATAACTACACCAATTATTCAGGCGAGTTCTCATGCTCTGCGCATTTAGTCATGGACGGGACCACGTGGAGCCGCTCAAGTGGCACTACTTGGGCTCAATCAAGCACGCAGAGGGTGCGAGAGAGACAGAGAAGCAGAGATGCTAGAGCCTTGGCTGCCGCGCGAAAGCGCAGAGCCGCAGGAAAAGGGTTACCGGAAAAAGAAAATGGCAAGTCCCGGACCCCGCGCTCTTCAAGCCTTTTTGGGCCTCGCCTTGGGTAGAATTATTGGCAGAGAAAATACACAATTCGGCAGAGTTTCTTATGCCAAAAGTTGTAACCGAGGCCGACGACCTTATCGGTCCCCCCCCCCCCTTCTTTTTTTCGACCGGCTCCTAAAATACTGATGCGCACCCGCCCCACTTCTTTTAGGATGCTGCCGCGCCCGGCCCGCGCCCTTGGCTGACGGTTACGGTCATTGGGCTTCTACAGCAGTCGCGGCCAGCCAGCGCGCCCCCCACGGCCCCGCGCCCGGGCCAGGCCCCGCCCCGCCGCCGCCGCTGCTGACAGCCGCTGACCCACTGACCACTTGACTGACCGCAGCGACACAACACTCAATACATACAGTACGCCTGTGCGCTGCACGTCCTAGACCAAAAGGGTCGGAGGTCACGGGTACAGCGAGACAACTTCTTGCGCAACAAGTCCTCTCCTCTCTCCGATTCCGAAAGGGTGGCGTGTTGTGTGTACGGCCTGGGCGCGCGGGGGTTGGGTTGGGGCAGGGCTCGG